GGAAAAGATCAATAAGGAAACTAGGACGTGGAAGTCTCATACAGTTCAAGATGCAAGTTAATTTTATCCACAGAGAAACAGAAACTGTGTTTCAAGAAAGAAGAATACATGGGCTAACGTCATAACCTCTTCACCCAACCGCACGGTAGGTAACAGTGAGCAACCACTGAGCTCACATCCTTGCCCCCAGCAAACAAACATTCAATGTAGCTGCAGTTCTGCCAATCTACAACTTATGGTCATGGCTTTTAAACAGCAAACAGCTCTGGTATGAACAAAACTCCCACCTGAAGAACTCCCTCTTTGAGGATGCTATTCCACAGAACAGTAACTCCTGTTTCACAGGCCCTCATAATGGATCAATATTATAATGCTCACATAACACAAAGGCAGAATCAATAAAATTTCTCTCTAAAAGATTCCAGACAAAGACCAGATTGATGAAGCTTTCTGTACTAAAATAATCATACTATCATTTAGTCTTGTGAAAGACAAAAAAAAAAAAAAACAGCATGTACTTATCCCTATCAATATCTGAACAGTTCTGCCAGGTGATCAGAAGTATTAATGTTAAGAATTACGGTGTTGTAAAGAGCAAAATTGCTAAAAGGGAAAAGGAGGTGGAAGATTGTGAGAATGATAAGCAACTACACAGACAGAAAAAAATAATCAGAGTTGTCATGCCTACTAGCACTTAATCCTAAAGCATCCCATATGGTATTAAATAACCTGCAGAAAACCTATTTTACAAGTTAATACAAATGCTTCTAACAGATCATTTTAGAGAGTGTTTTTCTTCCTTCATCCCCAGATTTATCAGTTTTCTTCTTGGCATATCAGCTAAGATTAAAGTGAGCACAGACCATTGTAGGTGACTCAAAGTGATCACAGGTTTAAGAAGTGAAAACATAAATGTTACCAGCAGAAGGAGAAAAGAATTCTACTGCTTAGTATTTAGTAAAAGCATAGATTTTGTTAGAGCAGCTTCTTATATTTGTATTCTCCTACATCAAATCAAATTTGATTTCAGTGAAACCACCATACCTAGAACAAACAGCTTATGTATGTCACAAGCACTCTTGTCCCACTGCCTGAAACACAGGAGTGAAGCAGGAAGTAGATGTATGTTTAACTCAGATAATTATTTTACTTGAATTTTTTTTTTAAGTTTAATATATTTTCAATAAATTAGTACATGTATTTGATGTAACCTGATAGGAAAACCAAGCACTGAAATCTCAATAATCCCATCGTAAACTGTTCATTCTCTCAGCCTGGAGTTATTATTCTGGGAAAATGTCACCAGAGTCTTCTTTCATAAGTTAGACTGGAGGAGCTTTTAGGATCCCTTTCAACTGAACTGATCTCCCCTTTCTTTTACTCTTCCTGAGGGATCCATTTTGGCCACTGCCAGAAATATAACACCAGAATAAACGGTTTTTTCCATTGGCTGTTGTACAGTGATTTCAGTAGCAAGCCAATGGATTCACAGTCAACTCCAAGCAACAACTAATATTCATGTTAAAATCAGTAAAAGTAAGTTGAGGATCCTTTGGGATCCAAGTGCCTCACTTACAGTAGGTGCTAAAGATAAAACATCACTGCCATTGCAGGTGGGACTGAGATTTGGGACCCTGAGGTGTTCAGCAAAGCCATCAAATGGTCTGTTCTGGAATCCTCCACCACTTTAGGAGAAATTGAATAAAAGGAAAGAAGGAAGAGGGTTCAGCATTTTAGCATTTTACAAGCATGCCACAGTTAGCAACAACAGTGGTCAGTCAAAGAAGAGTAGTTAAAATGAAGCATCTGGTGAAGAGAAAAGAGCCATCCAGCACTTAGATTTAACAGAACCGCTTCTTTTCCGCTCAGTGAATTGCTTTGCTGCAATATAAAAGCAGTCCCTGAATGGCCCAGTTTCTCAATCAGGCAAGCATTTAGACTTGGCAACCAATAAAGACTATTTGTAAAGTTTGGAATTAAAATATATGTTTGCATATCTTCACATCAAGAGTCTGAAAATAAGCAGGTTAAGGGAAATTATGACTTGTTTAAACAATATTTAAGGGTAAAAAAGTAAACGTGAGATAAAAGTTTAGCATAAAGTGTCTTTATGATTTATGTGCTTAAAAATAGCCCTCATATTGAGAAAAGCATAAATGAAAGATTTACAGGAGGAAAGAGCCTATTGTTGTCATACTGCTGTAACTCATCAGCTTAAGGAGCATCCAGCTTGCTGCCAAAAGTTCCTAATGCATTTCTTTTCAATGAAAAGAAGTAAAACTCTGTTTGTTTTCCTTGTAATTCCTACTCACAGTGTTTAGTTGTGCAAGAAAAAAAAGTCACAAGAAGTTTCTAAAGATGCCGTAGATCCATAGAGTTTAAAAATATCATATGATAAACTGAACCATGACTATTGTTCATAGGCTTAAACTTGTGTCCTTACATTATTGTGCATCCTCATGTAATTGACTCAGTGTGCTAAGATCCACTGTCCCACATGATTTTTGATGCATCAAAAAGAAAGAAGTAATGGCTTCTTATCTGGGCAAAACACTCCAAAAGGAAGAAAATCAAATTAGAATAATAATCCAGCCATACCCCACTAAGTTAGTAGATATATGAATTTTATAGCGTGAAAAATAAGTGATCTGAGAACTGAATTGTGAAAGATGTATTTCAGTGTCATGTGTGCTCTTCTGTGTCTGGAAATTTTGTCAAGGTAGAATAAAAGGGAAAAGAAGAAATTTAGATGTTTACCCTGACCTTCCTACAGCCCTCCTTCTTGCCTAATCCCAGCCATTTAGGTTAAGTATAAAATTCCATAAATGCACTGATTGTGCCAAAATCCATCTTCATTATTGAATGAGCAGAACACTACGTGCTGATAGGTATCCAAACTCATCTTCCTTATTTCCTCCTACTTCTATGTTTAAAAGAAGTCCAAGTATAAATGATTCTTCATAAAATTTTCCTTTAAGCCTCTCTGATAAAATGGAGATACTATTTGAGGACTCAAGCTGTAGGTTTCTTCACATAGCATGCACATTTGAGCTTTATCTGCTTGCCAGGCCAATGGTTGTGGCTGAAGAGTCCCTGAAAACAACTCTTCAGTTTCAGCTTTGACTTGCTGGAGTTTGCAATGTAAGTTGCAAAAACTGAATTTTACTTACAAAAGAGAGACAAGAAATATCAAACAAGATTCAAGTAGTAACAAACATGCATCTTGTCTTACTTTTCTACAACTTTTCTAGGTCACAGATAGATACCACTTCTTGGTGCTCACTGCCTACTTTTGCCAAGTGTATGCAAGAAGGACTATTGCAACTGGCACGGTACCGAAAAGAAAGTGCTGATACCAAGCAATTGTAGCCCTTAAGCAGAGTCCATGAGATAGCAAAAAGTTCTGGCACTTCTTCAGAACTGCAAACAAGTCCTGTACTTTAGAATCATTAAAGGAGATATTTTGTCAGCTTCAGATTGACTTCTGTACAGCCTGATGCTTTTTTAACAGCCTTGGCACCAGAAAATGAACGTGGAGTACCAGCTTCTGTGCATGCAGGCTATCACAAATCATTAGAAAGGTAACCATGTTAAGCTCTCAGTTGTTGTTTTTTTTAATTCATTGCCCTTCCATATCTTGTAAGATATGATACATCCATACCCACCAAAGATCACCTATCTCAAAACCAGCTTGCTTGACCCCTCCTGGCTGTGAACCTGACTTTCCTCACAGACAAGCACGGAGATGTAAGCCAACCTTTCCTGCATCTTTCAGAATGCTCTGTGAGCTGGGAAAAGGTGGCTGGGAGAATTCACCTCCCGGCTTTTCTGTTATGCAGCATGTGTGCCATAACACAGCTAAGAGGAGAGGAAGAGCAAAGTCTAAGCCAAGAAATTAACCACAAGCTTTCATCTTCAGCATCTCATCTGCAGCTATGCAGTTCAAGGGAAAGATGTTTGAGGGGAAAAAGGCAGCAATCAGTCGCCCTTGGTTATTCTGGATCAGTCTTCTCCATGAACACTGCAATTGCTAAAAGCAATCCCAAGTGAAGCAGCCCCTCGTCGGTTCTTCTTGGGATTTTCACCTTTTGGTTAGTTTCCATTTTACCTGACCTCAAGGGACACACACAGACACCACACGCCCGCTGAGGAAACTGTGTATCCAAGCACCAGCACTAATAGAAGCGCCATTCATCCAACTAATATATGGAGCTTTTACTGATGAGTCAACCTCTCCGGTAAGGCTGAAGACACAGTTTTTGTCAATTCATACAACTTGGCAGTAAGCAAAATGACTGTATATACATCTTAAAGCAGAGGTACCAGTCAGAGCACAAACAGAAGCCAAGCAGTAAAGCTGACACACAAGGACAAAGCTGTGGCTATGGGCTTAACCAAGGTCTCATGTGTTACACGAGGCTTATTGCCTACCTTTGACCCTCTTCATATTTCATTTTAGCAACAAATCCAAGGCCCAGCAAACCAATGAAGTATTTGTTATCAGAACACCACAGCTGTATCAGCACTGTATAAACGCATACTCACCTTTTCTCTTAGTCCAAGTCATTTCACATGTTTACAAACTTTATCAAGCTGAGCGTGCCTTAAGTGCATGAGAGATGCCATAAACAGGTTTCCCTGTGCTACAGCATCTCCCAAAAGCGGAGTGCATCCACTGATGCGGCTCAGGGGGAACGGGCATTGGACTTGGCAGCAGAAACACCGTGACAAAAGCCCTCCGGTACCCACGGAGGCCACACACACTATCTCAGGAAGCAGAGCAAGGCGCTGTGGATGGGAGGCCGGGAAGCACTGTAGCCGGCAGCGGAGCAGCACACCCGCACGTGAAAGCCCACCAGCATCCTCCTAGAGCTCTGCGAAGCGAGGAAGGGTGAGCCCGGGGAAAGGCAAAGCCCAGCTGCAGGCTCCATAGGAGGGGAAGCGCACGGCACGGCCCGCAGACAGGCGGCGGAGGGCAGAGGGCTGGCACCCGCCCATACCTTGTTGAGATGCGGGTCGCGGAGCACCTCGTAGCCCCTCTTCATGGTGAGCTGCAGGGGCCTGCCGCCCTCCCGGTTCCCGGCTGCCTTCCCTGCTTGCATGGCGACGGGCTCGGCGCGGCGAGGCGTACTGCCGTCAGGTCCTGCGGGAGAGAAGGCGAAGCGGCGGCGGCGACTCCTCCTGCTGAGGTGACCGCCCGTCGGGGTGGGATGATCCTGCGGGGAAAGAGACAGAGAGAGTGGGGGAGGGAGCGAAGGAGGGGGCAGAGCCGCGACGAGGCGCCGCCGCCGCCAGGCGGGGGTCACCGGGCGCCGCGCTGAGTCACCCACCGGCGCACCCCGGCCGGGGCGGTCAGCCAGCCCCCTCCGGGAGGGGAAGGCCTCGGTATTGAGGCCGCTCCCCGCCTCGCCGCGTCTAACGCCGAGCGCTGCCGGCAACAGGCTGCTCCCTAATCCCTGCTAGGGAGGAATTGCGACAGCGCTCCTGCCTCCTCACGCTCATTTTTGTGCGGAAGATGACGCGGCGATGCCCCGGGAGCCACGCTGCTCCGTGCCTGCAGGTGCTGCGCGCGGTGCTGCCGACGGACCCGCGCCCAGGTGGGCCTTGAGTTGGGAGCGCTCCTCCGGTCGGGGCTGCCTGCCCCAACAGGAACCGAGTTTCGCTTTCATTATGTTATTATTAAACACCGGTGAAATCTACCCTTCTCTGGGGGGGATCGGCTGCACAGCTCGGTACAGTGCTCAGCGTGAGCTGCTATCAGCTTCAGGGAGGGGAGGAGCAGCAGGACTGCAGCTGGTAGGGATGGAGAGCAGAGGAGAGCAGTGCAAGGCAGGTGTTGGGCCAGTTTGTGCCACTGTCTGTTGGATTTGTTTGCCGCATGTGCTAAAATCGTTTGTGTGCTTTAGGACTGTGGCTGTGTTCTTCCTGATTCGTTGATGTAAAGAGAAATAACTTTTATATGGATGCTGTGGCCGTGCTAGAGGAAGTACACAGCTTTAAATTAAGGACTAGAAAACTACTCAGGGACTGAGGTTTTTGCTGTTACTCTGGTGTTGCAATGTCAAGCAGCAAAGATGAGAACGCTGAAACTATTTTAAACTTACCTCTTTGCGTTCGTTCTGTAGGCCTTGTATCCATCCTGCTACTTCATCTTCTATTACAGAGGCTCTCCCCAAACCTGACTTTTTCCAAATTTCCTGTTAAGTAGCTCCTAAAAGTTCACTTGGGGTTAATTAACAAAGGGAAGTTGGAAGGGTTCCAGGTTATGTTTCTTGAAACTTGATTAGCTAGTCAGCAGCAAGTTCAGTAAATAAACCTCTCCCAGCCTCCACCACCTCAGGAAGCACTGTGAAGAGTGATATTAATAACAGGTTTTGAACAAATTTCAGATTTGAAGCCTTCCTGAGACTTGTCTGGATAGCTCAATTCCTGCCCAAGTCCTGAATTTTACCTTAAATAGGCATATCAGGGACATCAGACTCACACTGCAGGTCTCCTTTGGTCATGATAAAGATAAAAAGCAAAATAGAAACTTCTTTTTTTTTTCCATTTCTTCGCAGGTAGGCTGAAACCATATAGATAGAATGGTAACAAAGGTGATACTTTTGTCCCAGAGAGAGCAAGGTGCACTGATGTAATTGTTATCACAGTGTTGCAATACGGTCTATTTAAAAATAAAATGAAAAAAGCTCTCTAGTTTACACCAGGAATCACTGTAACAGCTGTGACATCTGACCCCTGCTAAGAACTTGTCCTGACTCACCTTGTTCCTGCTATTAAAGGTATGCAATGTAACAGCTAATTCAGGTGAAAGTCAATGTGGCCGTATTCTCCCTTACATAACCAGACTTCAGAAACAGTTTACTGCAGTGTTTGCTGTATGAATTTCCTCCCATCTTCCCCAAATTATTATATAGTTGCAAGGTTGGAAATGACCTCCAAGATCATCTAGTCCAACCGTCCTCCTGTTACCATTGCTACCACAAGCACTAAACCATATCTTATAGCTACTCATCCAGATGCCTCTTGAACACTGCCAGGGATGACAACTCCACCCTGGGCAGGCCATTCCAGTGCCTGACCACTCTCTGAGAGAAGAAGTTCTTCCTTAGGTCTCACCTAAACCTCCTCTGGTACAATTATTTCTGTTATCTGTTATTCTCCCTGGTATTATTTCTGTTCATCATGTTCAGCCACTAATAAAAACAAAATCTCTTATGATATTGCGTCCCTGACTTTTAATGCTGACTGTATCCAATATTTGAACCACAGAGGAATAATACTCAACAATTACATCTGCAGTGGAAGGTGATTATTACAGAAAAGTGCACTGTACAATAAAGCTAATAAAATCTTTTTAACTGGCAGATTTTATTATTCTTATTTATTTTTGCTATGGCTGAGCATACAATAATGGTATTTTTAAAGACTTAACCCTCATTCAAATAAATCAGTAAGGGTTATACATTATGAAGTTATTTCTGACAGCTGCTTTGCTGTTCTTCTGTCAGGCACCTCATTCTCCTTCCCAGATGTTTCATACAGCACAGAGTTAAAATTCCTGCTGAGAATTTTTCTGAAGTAGCTGTTCTTGAAGACCCTCCACTCTCTTCTGCTTCCTCCATTCAATTGTTTAGTGTGTCTTTGTCTGCCAAATCTCCCCAGTTGTATTATGGATATATGGAAAGTTCTCTATAAGAAATAGTCCTAGAAAAAGTGACTAGAAGGAGCATTGGATGTCATCTCATTTGCCTTCATGTCTCAACCTACTGTTAGATAGCTACAAAAAACCTTGCAACCTGCTTTGGCAATCCAACAGTGAGGAGAACATACAGGAAAGAAAGATTTCCCAGTTGCTGAAGTGGTTATTAATGAGATCTTGTGTTGGGCTGCAACTGATCAAAGGGTTTGGGACTTGTCAAACCATTGCTTGAACTACAGCAGACTCTGGGATCTCCTGTGGTAGTGTGCTGGGGAAAAGTCAGCTTCCAGTGCTACCAGCTTAGAAGAAGAGAAGGGGAAATCCTACATCCTGATGAAAGCATTGCATTAAATGCCCCCTCCCCACCCACCGCCCTTTTGTTTTTTAGGACTTGTATTTCATATCATACTTGCCCAAATCAAGACCTTTAGTTGGTCTGTTACCAACTGATTTAGAAAAGTTTCTTCCCCTTTAAAGGAAAGAGATATTTTAGAAGATTCTTCCCTGAATTCCATCATATCTCTTACCCAGACCCTCAAGCCTCCCATGTTCCTCCCAGGTCATGTTTTCTGCCTTACCATCTTAATCACACTTCTGAAATGCTGTTGCAGGCTCATTATAGGCCACATTATGTCAGCCAAAACCTCACCTAAGCCAGCTAGAGGGGTTTACTTCACTTGTTTTACCAGTGGTGATTCTGTTTATTCTTCTCAGTAAAATGTTTGCTTTTTTTGCAATAGTGCAACAACGTCAACTCATGTTCAGTTTGTGGCCTGATGTAACCCTGTGTCCTTTCCTGCAGGGGTGCAGTCTGAATGAGTTGGCAATATCATGTCAAATTTGGCAGAAACACAAGGTTAGCTTTAAAATGGGGATTGTTTAATGATTTAAAAATAGAACTGAAACATTTGTAACATTTCTATTATGTAAACATTTTACAACAAGCAGTAGCAAACGAGAATTGTACTTGGTAGTTTGAAAGGGAAATTCACTTTTTAGTCACTGGGAAGTGTATTTTTAGTTAGCTAAGCTAAAGGAGAAGAAAAAAAACTAAATAGCATAAGCAGTGCAATATTACTGTTTAATTTTAAATTGAATAATTTTTGGTAATACAGAAGTGTTGTAAGACAAATTTGGATTTTTGCCTTTTCTTTTCCCTTTAAAGTAAGTAATGTACCCTTCAAGCTGAGTGAGGAATCTAATGGTAGTTTTGATATGTCTGGAGTACCAGCACCCTGAGGGACTTGGTGTCCCTCCCCATTTCCTCAGGGCTCTCCCCACCCAGCCCACAGCCCCAGATACCACATCAAATTCCCTAATGCCCTCAGTCCCAGTCTGTGTTCAGCTCTGGCACAGCTACATCCATGCCTGGCCATGGGCCCTGCTGATCTAACACGTGGCAGGGTGAAACTAACCAGCATGATGATCCCAGTGTGCCCTCAGCCTGGCCTCATCACTACATCACTCAGTAATCATGAGCTTTACCTGACCCTGGCTCCTCACACTGTGCCTGACCCTTATTCTTGTTCCCAGCTTGACCTCACCTCATCACTGCAGCAGACCTGGCCAAGGCACTGTCCCGAGTTGCCCCCGACTGCCCTGCTTTTTCACTGTGGATGGTAGGGTGGGCCTTCGCTGGTCAGACTCTCTCATGTCAGCTCATATGGGGAGCCCCCAGGTTCCAAGGGAAACACTGTCCCTCACTGTGCTCTGACACTGTGGACACTTCTTCAGAAAGAAGAGCCAGGATATTCTCAGAGATAGGACATTCAATGACAACAGGAAGGAGAAGCAAGTTGCACCTGGAAAACCTCCAATTGGCCCTAAGGACAACATTTTCCACCAGAAGAATGGTGAGTGCTAAAGCAGGCTACATAGAGGTCAAGGAATTTCCATCCCTGGAGATTTTCAACACTTGAGACAAAGCCCACAGTGACATAGTCTCACTTCAAGGTTAGGCTTGTTTTGAACTGGAGGACCTTCAGCTGTCCCTTCCAACCTGGACTTTTCTGTGATTTCATGAATTGCACAATACTGAGAAAGACAAATTCTCTGAACACACTGGCATATCTACAAGAATTTCATCATGGCAGCTAAAGGCCTTTGCTCCTCATGATCTCAATTTTCAGAGATTTCGCTCCTTCATTTCTGGCTCTTTTTCTACTTTGACACATATCTGCTTGGCCAATGGGCTCTAGTTCAGAAAAACAGTTTTTCTAACACTTCAATCTTTACTTGCTTTAAATCTAGTTGAACTACTTAACTTCAACAACTGGTGATAAATATCTGCAATCTTGGAAGCTGATGCTAGATTCATGGAAATTAAAATTGTTCCAGTGAAATATAAATATAGCTATTATTATTATTATATATTAAAAATATTTAAGTATAATATACTGTAAACATGCCTGTTGTACTTTTTACTAGTTGATATTGCATAGTCCAGGCATTGCAGAAAAAAAAAGCCAGGCTTGTCCAGCACATGCTGACAGATGTGTTGAAGCACCATGAGAGAATTTTCACTAAGTACACACAAATAGCTACTTCCATCAGCTGACTGCAGAGGAGGGAGAAGGACACACAGGGGCAATTGCATGCCTATAAAACCATTCATTTCTGCTGTACAGTTTGCTTATGGCAGAATGAGACCTTTTATTGTTTTGACTTATGGACCACATCCTTCACACATGTACAGATGCAACAAGAATGAGAATATATGTTCAAAGTTGATATAAAATGGTTCTATTTTGTTATATAGATACTCTGGAGTAGCTTAAACCTACATAAAGCAGTGGAAAATCACGTACCTTCAAACTATTCAAAAAACTTTGAAGCAAATCTTCTTTGAAATATCCTTTTTGAATTAATTTCCTGAATTGGCTGGTGATGAGGAATGTCAGTTATTTCTAGAATACCAAGCCTACTTATCTGAAAGACATGAAATCTTGTTAGTAGTATCTTTTCATCACTAATGCTAACACCTTCATTGTGCACTTCACATAGTTTTACAAAGTGTGCACACATTTCCATCTCAAATATTTTAAAGGTAATATGGAAGAATATTTTGGATTAATAGAACTAAAATCTTTGACTGTTATTTAAGTATCTCAGAACAAATTTTTCTTGGCTTTGTTTTAGCTGTGTTAACAATGAATTTGGAACTGAGGATTATTCAGTGCCAAAATAAAATTGCTATGACATTACTGTATGATTTGTATCTTAATACTGGGAGTTCACTGTATTGCTAAGAATAATAGGATTTAGAAAAAGGCCCCAAACAGCATTTTTACTTAAAGTGCT